GTAAAAGCCCTTTTCCCTCCAACCTATTGCAAAGATTTGATCTTTTCATTAAAATCTCTAGAAATGTAAAAAAAAACCCAGTAAGATTGTGTTACAAACACATGGACATGTTTTCTTGCAGGTGATTTTGAAGAGTAAGGATGACCAAGTGACTGTGATTGGAGCAGGAGTCACTCTGCATGAAGCACTGGCTGCAGCAGAGCAGCTGAGAAAAGGTGGGGCTTTTTTCCTTTTTGTCATGTAACAGAAAAAAAATCAATACCAGTCAGCCTAACTGCTCACCCTTTGTACTGGTAAACATTAATTACACTGCTCAGACAGCTAGTCAGGCACCTGTTAGCTGATACAGCACAACACTGCATGCAGCTGCCAGTCTTCCCTCGTGGAGGAGTTGGCTTAGCAGCATGAGTAGCCATGAAAATTGATAACAGATCACATTGAGATCGCCTTAGAATTGCTGATCTGCGATAGTGCCCTGTGGGCAGAGGCTTGGGGACAGCAGGAGTGGCACTTGGTCTGGCTGGGTCACCTGTGTGTGCCCGTGGGCACCTGGCCCTGGACTGGGCTCACTGCTGACCTGGGTTCCTTTGAATGCAGAAGCTCTGAGCTGGCCTGGGAGGGGCACAGATCTGTCAATGCTCAAGTCACTGACATCTCACAGCAATGGTAATCCTTCAATGAAATAAGAGAAAGAAACCATCAAAAACCCATCTGTAAATCAGGGGCCTCTGCTGAGGAAGGGATTACAAATTGCAGGAGATAATACAGTAATGCTGCCTGTGGCTTATGGGGAGCTTTGTGTGCAGCATCTGGGTGGACTGACACTTTGTCATGACCTTGAGTCACCAGGCTTAGGACATTTTGAAAGTTGTATTCTCAGAACCACTGTTATTTTTCTCCATTTATAGTGCTTTACAATGCGCTGCTGATCTTGAAGTCTGAATAATCACCTCTGGAGAGATAATCCCATAGTGCAGAGAAAGGGTCTAATACCTAAAATGTATTGGCCACTGAAGAGCCTTCAGTCACAAAACTGACAATAGGGCCCCTTCATGTGTAGGAAGGAGCTGGCCCAGTGTTCAACCAACCAGGACTAGAGAGAACCTCACATAATTGCTATTCTTTATAAACAATTGCCATTTGTGTGCTGCTTTAATGAGCCATCTGGGCCTGCCTTATGAGGGCAGGGCAGATCTGGGTTTGGTGCCAACCAACCTTAAAGGTGCCCTGGTTGGGCAGCTCAGACAGACACACCTGAGAGGTGGCAGCCTGCAGTAAAGAAAGAATTCAGAATGCCTACACATCAAAGAATCAGGTGGAAATTGCACTTGGCTTGACAATAAGGGTAAAATAGAGCTCTGGGAAAAAAATATTACAATTGACAGTCTGAGTAAGGAGGATTTCCTGGTGACTGGATTCTCTCTTACCTGGGGAAAGCCAGTTAGATGACTGTTTTGCTGATGGGTACTCCTGGTAACCTTGAGTCACTCATCCAAGCCTCCTCCATCATGTCTGTGAATAAATGGATATCACTATTCCACAAGGTGCGTGGAGAAAAAATACATATAAAAATTAGGGTTGGCTGGGTTCTGTGGTAGATAAGCCATTGGTACAGGGAGTTCATGTGGGCAGTTCTCTTAATGGTCACAGCCATTGCCTGTTGCAATTCATTGTTGCAAATAATTTTCATTTATTTATGCAGAAAAAATCTACATCCGTGTGATTGATCCCTTCACTATAAAGCCCCTGGATAAGAAGACAATACTTGAAAATGCAAGAGCAACCAAGGGCAGAATCATCACTGTTGAGGATCATTACCATGAAGGTGAGCAGGGTCTGGGAGGTCATAGCCCTCAGAGGCTGGAAGCTCCCAGCTTCTGGCCTGACAGAGGTGAATGGGACCTGATGCTGTCATCCTGTTAAAGCAAAAGAAAGATTTCAGCTTTTATTTTTTGTGCTGTTAGGATTATGAAGTGACACTGAGGGTTGAAAGGTTCCTAAGATGTAAGGGGTGATCGGGGCTGCCTTTCAGATTAACTTGGCCTTGTGTGCCCTTTGTATGCTTGGTCCAAGTGAAGCCTGGATTCATTAGTGCCCAGTGAAATTGTAAATTCCTGCTGTGCTGCAGGGGTTCTGCTCAGTCTGAAAGGCTGTACAGCAGGTGTAAAATTGCAAGAGAGACCATTGCTGTGTAGGCTAAGAATTCCATGTGTCCAAAAGCTTGGCTCCAGCTCCAGGTTGCTTGAAATCAGATGTCTTGGGCAGTTTCCACAGTTTTTCCACAGTTACTCTGGGATAAATTCCTCCCTTTTCCTTCTCCACCATCATAGATATCTACTGACAGAAATTAGTAGATAGAGTTATGAGAATATTATCCTAATTAAAGGTGAGCATCACTCTTGCCAGGTACCTGAAGGTAGCTGGTTCTACTCTAAGTGCTGGATACACCATGCTTTTGTCCCAGTCTGTGGGTGGTGATCGATCACTGAACCTCATAATTTTCTAGCTTAGTGTTCAGCTCTGGACAAGTATTTTACTGCAGGTTTGCAAGACAGAGAGTCTTAACTGTGAGGTGCTGACCAGGGGTTTTGTGCTGGCACGGTGCTGTGTGGTGCAGGCAGGACAGGTGTCTGTGCATTAGAACCCCGAGTGCATTGCAGGCCCCATCACACTGATCTCACCAGCTGCATCCACAGAGGTGCCTCTGGCTGCAGGCTGTTTGGTTAGATCCCACCATGCCTGGAGCTCTGGGCAGCCCTGTGATCCTGAATACACTCTGGCTGAAGGGTAGCACTAAGGTGCCTCTTCTACCAGGTCTCACAGCACATGCTTTTGATACAAGTCCTGTTTCCTTCTTCCCTAGTAGTTCTGCTCCCAGTGTCTCTCCTGCCTCCATGCAGTTCCCGTTGCATCCTTGCATCCTTTGTCCCTGTGACCGATAGTGAGTCAGAGCTGAGCTCTGAGTAAAGGTTGTGAATACATTACATAACGCAGAGAGGAGCCCAGCAGCACGTACAGGCACTGTGAAAAGATGGAGCTCTGAAGTGCTGCTGAGATTGGTTGGAATTTCAGTGCCTTAAGTACACTTGTAAATGCTCCTCAGCCAAAGTGTATTTTTAAACCTGGTTCCTGCTGGCTGATGCCGAGGTGGTGAGAGCTTGCTGACAGTCCTGTGCCCGTGAGAGGCAGGTGTGCCCTGCTGCTGATGGCTGAGTACTTCAGAAATGGCAGCCTGCTTGTCCTCAGAATGCCTTTGATAAAGGACAGGGTTTTCATTTCACAGTTAGCCCACTCAGACATGTGTGATTGGTGTTTTCCTGAGGCTGGGAATGGAGGCTGTAAGTTGCAGGCCCCTTTGCTCAGGCACACACATAGCAGGATGCTCCTGCCTGGGCGCTCCATCAGTGCCGTGCCTGCCCTCTCTCCACAGGTGGCATTGGCGAAGCCGTGTGTGCCGCTGTCATGGGCGAGCCTGGGGTCACCGTCACTCGCCTGGCTGTGTCCCACGTGCCCCGCAGCGGGAAGCCAGCTGAGCTGCTGAGGATGTTTGGCATTGACAAGGATGCCATCATGCAGGCGGTGAGGGCAGCCGTGTCCAAATCCAGGAACGCGGAGTAGCTGGAAGTGTCTCGCGCTGTGTAACGGAAGAGCTGCGTTCGGAGAGGTTAAGGCAGGCAAAGGTGCTTTATGTAGAGAGGTCTAATAAAAATACCAGCTTAAAAAACCTTCTGGGGTTTGAGCTCTTCTTTTCTCTGAGGGGTTTGGTGTTGTGGGGTAATACCTGCATGTTTAGAGTCCCTCCTCTCTGCATTGCCTCCAGCCATTTAAAGCCAAAGGCAGTACCCAATGTGCTGGGTGATGCTGAAGTGGAATGAGATGAACCAGGTCCTGGGGAACCAACGGGGAGTTGGGGCCCAGCAGAGCCCTGGGCTCAGGCAGGACATGCTGAATGGCAGTGCAGACAGCAGGAGTGAAGGAAGTTGAAACTCTTCATAGGAACTTGTAGTTTTGAGTGCTTGGCTGATGCTGCAGCAAGAGTGATGCTGAGAAGGACTGAAGGATCCAGAAGAGCAGGAAATTCCCAGGTACTCAAGAGGATGCAGCTCAATGTGTAAGTTGCCTTTTTTCTGAGAACAGACTTTTCTCATGGGACTTGGTCTAAGTGGCTGAACTGTTCATCTCGCATGGTGGGATGGACTTTGTGACTTTTTAAATGTTTTGCTTATTTTAACCTTAAGCAGTTTCTGTTAAAATTAAAAATTTATGTTTACTGCAGAGTACCAAATTTAAAACATTAAGTATTGAAACATGTTTCTCATCCTGACTGTTCCACAAGTTGCCTTTCAGAAAGACATTGGACAGCAGAAGAGACTAAAAAAAGCCCTTTTCATCAGCAGAGTGACTGTGTAGTTTTTAGTTCACCCAAAAGCTATTTGCCAATAGCATGGCTACAGTGGTCTGAGCAAGACTTTATTTGCAGACTAACACAAAATATACAGTAGTTTGGGATGGCAGAATATCTCTACAAAGACATGTAAATGAGCATATAAATACAATGAAATAACTTGTATTCATCCTTCTTGCACAATTTAGCCCTTGAGGCACTGGGTGGCAGCTGTGCTGTGTTGGTGCAGGCCTGAGTGCAACTGTTGGTGTTTCTGGCAGTGCAGCTGGAACTGCAGGCAAGAGTGACTGACTCAGTGCTTCAAATTCCATACAACAAAAAGTAACCTTTCTAATTTTCTGAGCAAGGCTTGAAATTGTTCCTGTTAAACTCTGAGCTGTTTACAGGGTTACAGCTTTCAGATTTACATTTCCTTAAAAGTGCATGTTTACGTCTTTTTCTGTTCAACTGGTTGCCTTCATCATTCTGTGGGTATGAAGACCTTACATTTTTGCTAAAAATTTAAAGATACCCCCCTTTTGTTACAGTCTTCCTATAACTGCAGTAGCCCTACATTCTTGAAATGTGTAACACATCCTATAAAATGAAACAAATGTCAAAGTTACGTGTTTATTTTACTCAAAGAAAGAAAAAGGTTGGGGGATGAGTCAAATCAAGCACTTTGTTTTTCCTGAGAAAAGATGAAATCTGCTGTTGTTAATAATCTCATTTCTGCAGCACTCTGTCAGTGCCTGTAACATCTCCCCAGCTCTCCTCGGGTGAAACCACTGCCCGCCCACTGCTCCGGGTTCTGCCACAATCAATTAATCAGCCCCAGTGCCGGCACTGCCAGGGCTCAGCTGGGAGAGCAGCGCCAGCCTCTGCCTGCTCTGGGCAGCACGGGGGGAGGAGGAGGCCAGAATTCCTCCAGGAACAGCCAGAGCCTAAGCCAGAACCAGCACAGGACCTTGGTCTGTTGATTTTGGTACAGCACAGGCAGATTGGCGTGGTTTGTTACGAATGAGAGCTGCACCACCAACAACATGGCAGCCTGGGGGAGAGGTCAGTGTTTATATTTAGATGGAACTGAACACAAAGCTACATCTCCATTGTCTTCCAAGCTCTGATAAGCCCCAAACCGCTTCAGAATCCACAGTGGGGCCCTGTACCCCAGTTTCAGGTTTATTTTGGAGGGAAAGGAGTGATGTTTTTCAGAGGTTTCACATTTCAGTATTCCACACTGGCCATTTGGTTAGGTTCACCTCATAAAGCAGTTCCTTTAGTACTGGAAATTTGGACAGCCAGGTTTGGGGAACTCTCCTGAAATACTCCTCCTAGGCAGCTTTCCTCATGCCTGTGGGATGAAGAAAAAGACAGCTGTCAGGACTGCTGTGTTCAGACTGTGCTGTGTCCATGCAGCTTTTCAGTATTCTTTGTGTCCATAAACACAGATAAACATGAACCAGTCTGTCAAGAACCAACACGTGAAGCCTCCCTCTATCCCCTGAGTTTTTATTTAAGCTATAGAATTCTTACGCAGACACTGCCAGGAAATAGCACCCCATACAGGATGGAGTATTAAAAATGTGAGAATGTTCTGCCACAGAGAAAGAGTCAACACTAATTAATTTTCAAACCCAAGCAGCTGCAGTGAACTGTAGTAAAATATTCCTTTTTTTTTTAAGGCAGTAAAATATGAAATTGTCATTTAAATGAGCTGGTCTTAATTCTTGACAAAACCAAGGTCCAGGGAAGACAGATGCTGTCACTAAAAAGAGCACTATTACCTCTTGGCTTGAATCTGTCAATGAAAGGAACAAAGCTGTCAAGGACACTCCGAATTCGGTACACTGGGTGTGAAAACAAACATATAAGATAAGCAACACAAAAAAATAGAAAAATGGCAAAACCCAAACACTGACATTTGTTTCAACAAGCACATCTGCAATATCATTAATAACAAAGATCAGGGTGAGTCATGAGAGAACCATCCACAATCTCCCACCATGTTAACATGAGATTATAAAGGAGACAAGTTCTTGGCTGGGGAGCCATAACTTGGTGCTGGTGGCAGCTCTCCTATACCAGGCCTAGGGATTGCCAAAATGCCTGGGTTTTAATATTTCCAGTAGCTGCTGCCATCCAAGTTTTGCCCTGAGCTCGTCCTCAGTCCCAGGGGAAGGTATGGCAGCTGGGATGCACAGCATCTTATCAAGTGGATCTGGGAAGACAGGCCTTGCTGCTAAAATTACACATTGTCATGGCAACACAGCATTCGGCCATTGCTGCAGAAAGAGGTGACTCAGGGTCTTGTGATCACTGAGAAGGAAAAATGAGTCAACTCCTCCCTTCAGTAGCATTAAGGCTGCTTGGCTGCAGCCCCCCTGTAATTGGGAGATGTTGGGGGGAGTTACGTGGTGAGTTATGGAATCTCGACCCTGGAGGGTTTATGGGCCTGCAGCAACTGTGTGACCTTGTCCTTAGTGCAGGGCCACAGCTGCTGCTGTAGGCACACTTACCCAGGCCAAAGTATATCCCAGTGGTTTCCAGGGAAGCAAAGGTGATTAAACCAATCCCAAGAGAAATAGTCCAATCTAAGGCAACAAAATAACTTGTTAGCATTGTTCATTTTTCTACAGTCCAACAATATATCCTTCTATTGAATCTTGCCTTACCTTTGTAATAGTAGTAGCAAACTAGCAAAGCTCCAATTGCAAAGCAAAGAATGACAAAATGAAAGAATTCATCTGAAATTGAGAGAGAAGATTGGGTCACAACTGCAGCCATGCCCCTTCCAAATTCACCTTTAGGTACAGAGTATCACTCATGGAATGAAATCAATTTCCCTGAGATTTCTCAGGCACTAGGCTCAACATTATGAGAAGCCTTGATGATTTTCATCATGAAGCCTTGATGCACCTCAACAAAGCACTCATGTTGGAAAAATAAAGGGTTTTTTGAACCAGAGATCTTATTCTTGAACTAAGGTTCAACAGGTTTGACATCTGTTTGATTTAATAAATCAATTACCATCCTTCCGTATGCCCATCCACCGTACTGTCCACTGAGGGGGGTGAGTGCTCTCCACATATGCTACAAAAAAGAGAAGTCTTTTATTGCCATGGAATTGTGAAATTAAGGAGTTTAAAGTTTATTTGCCTTTTTGTATCTGAAATACATTGTCAGAGCAGAATATATGTAAAACTTTTGTTGGTCTGCGAGCCTTTCAGAAAGATCAAATTAGCAATTTCAAAAGCACTCCAAAGAGCATGGTTTTAAAAATGAATTTTAAAAAGTATAACCAGATGGCTGCGTTAACAATACTGAATTGTTTTAAAGCACTCTGGGTGTTTTCTGCCTCTTCTGGGATAAGCCATAGTCTCAGAATGAGAGTGGGGGAGTGAAGCCACAGTACAAGGGAGCTTCAGTTTGATTCCTGGCTGCTTTGCACAACCACAGCTACAGTAAAAAATAGTAAAAGGATCCCCTCCATTACTGAGGGTGTGAGAACCATTCCTCTACTTACACCTGATGTCAAGTACTTCTGCACCATCCTAAATAATATATAATATGCTACTGAAATGAGTCTCCTGCAGCTACACTGGCATAGAGAAAAAAACAGCATAAGAACAAATGAGGTATTTCAGAGGTTTAAACACAGAGCAGTTTGCTCTTTGGCATGAGCAGTGTTGCCAAATTCTCATTTTTCTCCAATTGTATTGCCATAAAGAGCTGAGTATTTTAGCATCTCTCCAACAACAGGTTCAAAGCAGCAGTTTTTTTCCTTTTCTCTTTGTTGGTGGTTTGAGTAGCCCCTGAGGCACCTGCTGCACCCAAACCTTTGGGAGTTGATTCAGCACAAGTTTCAGATGCTGATTTCCCCTGCACTGGGTAACCCCTGGCAGCGAATTTTCTCTAAAGATGTAATAGGTGAGTACTGGAAGGGCCCTTTACATGAACTGTAGACTTTTGCTGTAGTGCTTTTGAGCCATAGAGCAACCAAGCCTCACCAAGAAATTCTGTTCTGTGTCACCTGATACTGGCATCACATTTTTGCCTCTTTGAGCAGTCTGGATTGATCACATTCTGGTTTGGGGACAAACCCAGTTATTTTCTTATTAATAACATAGCACTGCATTATTCTATCTCACAGATACAGCTCTGTGCAGCTGCATGAAAGATCTATAGATAAAGAATTTAGCAGAACATCAATTCACACTTGGCAAGTGTCTGTCTTGTATTACTCCCTAAATGGAGCAGTCCCAGTGTAACTTGGCATCATGGAATGACTTGCACAATATTTCTTCTGTTAAAGCATTCCATGTCATTACCTGTTTTCAAACTTCTACTTTTTGATCAGACAATCTCTAGGCATCAAGGAGCTGGTACTGCCCCCACCACTAAGCAAAAGTCAGTCCTGAAAGAGCATCCACAAAATAAACTTCTGTTTGCATGTTTGTACTCACCATCTGCATCTGAATCTTCTCTTCTGGCAATCTCTGAAAAACAATATAGTTTTGTTATTTCTGATGGAAAAAAATACAAATATAGAGCTTCCCACCATACTCAGCACCAAGAAGCACAGTAAGTAATCACCTATCTGCAACAAAACTGGGGTGGGTGGTAGAGAGGCCAAACACCAAGTGGAAAAGTACCATGACCCTTTCTGTACCTGGCAGTGTGAGGAGAATATGGATGAATACGCAGTGAATATGAGAATATGGATGAATATGTAATGGATGCCTCTGCCCTGGTGTTCCGTGTGGCTCCCTGGGACAGGTAACTCAAAAACCTTCCCAAGGGATTATGCTGCAATTTATAACTTCTCCACTGCTCAGAACTAGAGCAGATGTCCTCTCCAAAGGCTGCTCCACTGGGCTGTTTGCCTCTCCTAACTTATCCTGTGGCCTTGGCCTGGGCACAAGAGGGATGAGCTCAGTAATGCAATTAATCCCTTGGCAATTTCCTGCAATGGGCTTTTTACAAACATTCTGGGGCTGTACAGCAGTGTCTGGTGGGAGGCAGTCTGCCTTCAGACTGCCTGTCTGTGCAAACCTCTTGGCTGGCACTGCTGCTCTGTTGCCTGACATCTGGCTTTCAGCTGGCACCTCCTGCTGGGAATGCTGTGAGCTAAGGCAGGAATGCATTCAGACCCAAGCATCACTGCTTGCAGAAACCAGGTTCCAGATCCCTCCCAGCCTTGCACCCCTGTTCAGCAGAAGATAGAGGGCTTCAGGGAATACTAAAAACTTCCTCTAGCTTTTTTGGCTAAGACTGAACAGTTGCCCAACAGAACTGCTGGGTTTTCCCCTAAAGAATAACTACTATGAACTGATCTTGTGAGAACCTGGCAGGCCTACAAAAATACAGAACACCTTGTACAGAACAAACCACCTGCTGTGAGCCAGTCACTACCACAGCCTTGCAACAGAATGTCTGCACCATGCCCAGGTCCAACACCAAGCTGACTAGAAACTAAGAGATTTACAGCCTGAGAGTTATTTTTTAATGTCTCAGCAGGTCAGAAAGCAGACACTGCAGTTCCAGTCATTCCAGCAGGTGACCTGGGAGCACTTACCTGAATCTCTGTAGGGAACCATCTCTGCTGGTATTCCTAAAACATGGCATAGAGATGAGGCAGGTTAATACCTGCAGTGAGTGTGTCTGGTGCCAGTGCCAGCCCATCAGCTCCCTGAAATCAGTGTGGGTGAGTAACAGGGACAAGGAAGAGGCCAACCCGAACTCCTTAAACAGAACGGCTCTGCTGGGGGCTATGCAGTCAAAAAGTGGGAAATTACTGAATTCTTAACCCCGCCACACCCCCATATTCCATCTCTCCAAGTATCTGGAGTCAAGTAGAATCAGACTTCTGTGACACAGATTAGATTTCCTAATGTCAATTTAATTGAGCTGCTAATTTGGGCTGAGCTCAGTTTAAGACACTAATTAAAATAGTAATACTTTACATTTTTACATCCATAGTCCTATAGGTATTTCTGTGTATTGACATAGCACATTTTCTTCATCTGCATTGTACTTATTTTACATTTTCCCTTTGGTAGGAAGGGAAAAGCCTCAGGAACAGGACAGTGCTTGCTGATGATCTCCAGGGCTGACTGCAGCCCCTGTAAGTAGTGGCTGTGACAGATGTTTTCAGAACCCTCTTGCTGCATTTCAGTGGCAGCTGTGCAGACCCAGGCAGCAGGACTCCTCCCACAACAGCAGATTTTGCTGCTTTCCTGGTTCAACTCCAAGCACAGGGCATGGCTGAGTGTCAGTATTAGTTGAGCTTAATCTGGTAGGAAATGTCCTTCCTACAGCCAAATTCTGACTTGTCTTTCTTTTACATCTACACAAGTCAGTATACCTTTGTTCAACAGCCAAACCAAAGAATGCAAAAAATAATCTTTTTTTTTGTTTATATTGGTTGCCCCTAGTAAAAGCCAATATTGCTGTGGCTTTGTCCTACCTTCAAGTAATTTGCCTTCAGTCTTCTGTCTTCCTAAATCTTCCTCATCACTGTCTGGATAAGAGAAAGTGTTTGTTCATCAGAGTAAAGCAAAATGCACTAGCAGCATCAGAAACAACAGCACTGTAGTTGTTTGCTCAAAAGAAAACCATATGAAGGTAAAAAAATAAGGCTTTGAAATGCATAAAATGCATTTGAAATGAAATCTCTATTGTCTGCTTTTGCCTCACAGCTCCCTTCAAAGCTGGCTGAATAGGTGAAACAGCAAAACCTGAAGTTGGATTAAGTTGTATAAAGGGCTATAGAGAGAAGTTAGGATCTTTTATTTGGGGAAGGAGTTTTGCAGCAGATTTTTATGTTTCTGAAACCAACTTCCACAAGAGTGGAAGAAGAAGTGGGTGACAGCCACTATTTTGCTGATCATGAATCAGGTACTGATGATTTTCTATGTTCTCTCCTTTGCACAATTTCTTACTTTATTCAGAGCTCTACAGAACTGCCACATCTCCTATGTCAATCCTTACAAACGTGCAGTCAGACTAAGTTATGTATCAGGGAAAAAAAATAAATCCACTTTACCTTGTGTATCTTCATCCGTGGACTTATGGGATGACTTTTCAGACTTTTTGTCCTCTTCTGAATATACAAAATTCCTTTCCAATCTCTTCAGGAGTTTCAATTTTTCATCTTTTTTTTTTTAATAAAGAGAGAAAAAAAAAAATTATCAGTGACTACATTTTCTATTTTACAATTACAGATTTCACAATGCTTTATTAAAAGTTGCCTGACAAGAAATCAGACCCTTTGTCTAATTTCAGCTGTGCTTTTTGCACACTAAGGGTAGCACACAGCATCAAATGAAAGCATCATACACACTACAGTTTAGATCTTCTTAAATGCTTCTGGTAGATACCTAAAGTTTCATATTCTGGCGTTTAATTATTCGTGATGTTACTGCCGTGCAAATTCCCACTCCCTGAAGTGGCAGCAGCTGCGATGCTTCAGCCGGAGAGGAGCGGCTCGCCCTGCCCTGGGCTACCTCTGCCGGGCTCCGTGTGCCGACACCGCGGCTCCGGCTCCCTCTCGTGGCACAGGAGCACAGCCCCCACAGCCCAGCCACACCAGCGTCCCGACTGCTCCTGGCTCGTGTGGCTGACTCTGAACAGCTTCACAGCCAGCTCTGTGCTCAGGGCCGGGGCTCTAAGCATCTCATCAGCGGGAGGTGCAGGATTTGGGCACAGGCAGGTAGATGGGATTCCTTCTGCTCACAGCCCCAAGGGTCTTGTTACCAACATTCCTGCTCTGAGAGACGACCAAAGCGGGGCTGTGCTCTGGGCTGGGAGGTCTCTGCCCTTCAGGAACATGTTTAATCAAGGCAGAAGGAACGGGATATCCTTGAGGATCTCCAGTTAAATTTAAGGTCATCTTAAATGACTGCTCCTCTGTCATCTATTAAAGACAATTAATGACTATGGACCCTGTGAAGCTGCCCTTAGTTTCTTACTGCACAACCAGGCAAACAAGTCTCTTTTATCTTGTTGCCAGTTCAGCATCCTGTGTGCCATCCCCTGTCCTTTCCTTTTAGTTTTACATGTACTGTTAGGGAATTTGTAAAAATATTTTCACTGTCAGCTCTGACTTCTTAGCACTGCGAGTGCTCAGAAGGGTCCTGGCTGGCTGGAAAATAGTCTGTGCAAAAAAGTCAGGGGAAACTTTCTCAAGTCAGAGAAACTTCTTTGGCAGCATCATCCCAGGACATGCTCTCTCCTTAAACACAGGGGTTTTTTTCCCCAGAAGAAGCCAAGTCTAACTGCAATAAAACACTAACTTTGGCTCCCATTACCACCACACCTAACTGCCTTTCCTGAGCAGTACTTCCAAACAGTTCAACTAATAATCACTTCCAAGCACATAACAGTGTTCAAGCTGCTGTCAAGTCCCACTGGCCCTGCAGTAATTTTAACAAAACAGTTGACAAGAAGGCAGGTAGGACTCACCCTTTCCCTTGGAGCTGGGCAGCTGCCTGTACCCAGATGGATTGGAAGTCTTCAGCAAAAGGTAAAGAAGAGCCATTGCCCTGACTCCTTTCTTCTCTATGGTTTCCAGGCAGGCAGCACAGCCTCCAGGGAGGACATCACAGCTGTTAAGGAGCTGAAAAAAAGGTAAGTAAATAGCAAATGGTATTTCCAATAAAACACAGCCTGCAGAAGCACACCCTGATGGGCAAATGAGTGTATCCCACCCTGTGGGTAATGCAACCCCCTGTTCCTACTATACAAAGGGGGAACTGGGGACAAAAAGTAATGCCAAAGATGGAAAGAGAACATAAGCTCCATTCAGCAACCCAGAGCAGAGCCATCAACTGGGAAAAACAGCATGGTGGGCAACAGTTAACTATTCAGAGAGCTGGAGAAATACAGCTATAGGGTCTGAAAATGGCCATGCAATTGCTGCAGTATCTTACAGCAAAATGTCACTAACAATGGTCCTGTCTAGAACATAGTGAGCCAAACTGATTCTGAGGAATTGATACAGAGACAGTTATTTTTGCACATAGAGAGCAGTGAAGTAAAAAGCAGTGCCTTGAACCTCATTTATCTAAGTGTCCTGTTACACCTTTTAATATATTTCAGCATATCAGATAGTGGGACTGTATGTTCTCTCTCCCCAGAGTATAGTAGAAAAAACAGAATAAGGATAAGTGTTTCTTTGGTAACTTACATTGTTCTTTTCTTCAGTATCCAGGATAGCTGGGTCAGTAGCAGCCAAGCATTTTACAAGTGATTCCCAGAAGGACTGGTTCATTTTTTCATGATTCTCCAAGTACTTGGCATCAGCAGCAAAAACTCTCTGAAAAATGTCTGTAAGGAAAACAAACCTGTCACTGTGCAGGAGCAGAGGGGGTTTTCATGGCAGTGCTCCTGTGGTGCTCAGTGCAGCTGTGGAGACAGACACCAGGCTCTAACACACTGCCCAATACCAGCACACAGGAAAGAGAGTTGTGGTGTATTATATAAAGCATCTCAGTCTGCCACGAAAGAGTAGACAAATGTCAATAGTCCATACAAATGACTGATGTCTCAGTCAGAGAAGCATGGCAAGTGTTCCCAAAGTATTCCTATCTATTTAACAGGAACTTATTCTGACCATGCTGTTTTACAGACAGGCACAAAGACCCCAAGGATTGGACACCAAGGTACTGAGATTGCTCATGAGGCATTAAATGCACAGTAAAGTCTCCTTTGTGTATCTAAATTCCCACTAGCATGTGCACAAAGCCTAACAGGAGCCTGTGGAAGAGCTGGGAATTGACTTCTGGTCTCTCTTTTACAAACAAGGAGATGGATAGGGTGTGTTTTCAGAGGAAACAGAGTTCATTGACTCATGCCTACCCTGGCAAACACTGCTGTGCAGTGTGCATGACCCAAAGCTCTGATCTTTGTGTGCTTCCCTCACCTTGCTGTTCTTCAGTAAGATCTGGGATTGGGACATCCAAATTCTCCATTGCTGTGCCTGTTTGAAAGTGGAGAAAAATCACATTTAGAATCAGGTCACTGACCTTCCTGGTTCTCTGTCTTTGATTGTCTGCAAACACAGCGTCTGTCTCTGGGCCTTTCAGTTTTGAAATCACTTCTTTGTTTCACATCATGATTCATTTAACTCTCCTGGGACCCAATTCTTGACTCCTCTGAGTGAGCCCTACTAGCCTTTGGTTATTAGGAAAGAACAAAACTCTGATCATCATGAGTAAAACAAAAAGTCAGACTTGATCATTCACATTGCTGTTTGGTAAAGCTATCAAGGTGTCTAATTAAATATTTACCACAGATGTGAGTAACCTAATAGGCCAGGTTCCATTCACGAAACAGAACCATTATCCTGTACCTTTGATATCCTAATACGTAAAATATATCAGCCAGGAAAAATAGCAGAAATGGTTCCTAGGAAAGTTCCACAAGAATTTGAATTCTCTTCTCACAGAAGACTTTGATGCTTCAACATCTGCTCCTCCCAAGTTGTCATGAAAAGGAAAATTCCATTAACTTTAGCTTTATGAATTACAAATTGTTAAGTGCTGATCACAGATTAATTACTGGTATTTGCCACAGAAACAGATGTTCTGACATCCTCAAAATTCAACATTTCCTTTTGTTTTGACAAACTTGCCACAGAAGTTTTGGGCTGAGGCTGGAATATTTGGATGGTGCACATTTTCTGGTGGCTGTGGTTCTGAACTGTTGCCTCTGCCTAGGGTGGTCCGGGCATTCTGCACTGATGCATCTCCCCTCATGCAATATTGCAACTAACCCACAGCTGCACTGAGAGATGCAAAAGGAGATTTTTAGGGAGCCTGAAGCACAGTTTCCACTATGCAGGATGCAATAGGAAAACAGTTTATGTGTCCACACTTTTTCTTACAATATAACTTTTGGATCCATTCAACAAAACACTTCCCATCAAGCAGCTTGAAAACTAAGTATATCCTTCAAATTTTCCAGAGGAAAACCTGTTTCTTTTCCTACTGGCACTTTCAGTTCTCTAAAGACCATCATATCAGTCCAAAAAATATCCTAATAAAAACCCAAAACAGGTCAGCTAATATCTTCAGAAGGATACTGTAACACATAAGCAAACACTCAAACAGAACATTTTAGGGTGTCAGTTCTCAGAGGAAATTAGACACAAACAGACTTCAAAAGACTTCTGGAAAAATTACATAACCACTTTCAAATGCTCAGCTCAGAAATCCTGGCTTACCTGCCTCGAAAGTATATTGTGGGAAAACAATATTTTAACATTTTGAAATTATTTCCAGTGACGAACCTATGCAAAAGATCTACAGATCTTCCCCTTTCACTTACATCCAGCCTTTGCTGCTGTAGCTGTGGCAGCAGCCCTGTGAGAGCTGTGAGCACCAAATAGGGAATGCAGGAAATGCATCTGTCCCCTCTGTGGGTAAGCACCAGCTGATGTGGAAATGTAAGAACCCAGCACACCACACCCTGGACAGACTCGTTCTTGGCCATTCAATCAAGAATGTCATTTCATTGGCACTTAAATATCTCCAGCTATGGTTTTCTGTCTTTTTCAGTCTCTTTCTTGCCTTCCTGTTTGCTAAACTTAGACCTTGCAACAGCTGCTTGTTTAAGCTAAATCCATTAGGCCTCCTTCTGGACTGCATGGTCAATATACCAGAGCTAAAGGAACAAAAATACATTAAATATAAACATTTTTTTCCAGCTGATTAATTCAATTTCAAAAAATAATTTATAAGTATCCTGATATTTTACTGTTGAGTGAAACTCAGGAGGTTTGTCTTTGTGGTTCCTAATACCTAGTGAAGGCCACTTTCAGTGGCACTTTAAGGCATGTTGCTGTTCCCCTGACAGGAACTTGTCACAGCAGCTGCCCTATCCCAGCTTTGCATCATCCCAAAGTGAGCAGGTGGGCACTACCTGAGCTGTCCTACCAGGCACACAGGAAGAGCAGATTCAACACTGAAGGCAGGGCAGACACTGTCAACATCATCTCTATCTGCTATCAGACTGGTTTACTTCAAAACTGCTCATTTGCTGGCCCAAACGAGCAGACTGCTCAGCTGTTCCAGAACAGAAACACAGTTGCCTAATGCACTTTTGCATCCCCCTGTGGTAAGACCTGGATGCTACAAGAGGATCCAGGAGCAACCGGCATCTGCTCCCATCTCCCTTTCTGTGCCTCCAGCACAGCTCAGCCCAGTACAGTCACCAAGATTTACATTAGCCAAGGAAGTTGGGTACTTAGTTTCTCTTAGACTATGCACAATTAATTCCCCTGTGGCTCTTCTGGAAAGAAAATCAGATCTAAACAAAGGATAAGTATAGGTGCTTAATTATTGTATGTTTTAAAAGTGACTTAGTTGATTATACCTCATAATGAGAGAAAGATGATGACATACAAGCATTTCAGCCTGGCCATGAGCTCACTGGGGAATGACATGAACAACAGACTTCACCTTGTTTTTCTCACAGTAAATCAAAATTTAATTGCAGTGAGGTCTTTTTAACACATTAGAATAAAATTTGTGTGCAGAGTCAGATTTAGAAAGTGAAGTTAGCAACTTCCATACACAGGGTTTTGCTTAACTGATGAAATATATCTGAGGGAAATTGCTCAACAGGAAAACAAAAAAAAAAGCAAATAAAATAAAATAAGGTTGTTTTAACTTCAAGACAAAAATCAGACAATCCCAAACCTTTTCCCTTCAAAATTACTTTTACCTTTCATTTTAAGTTATATGCTGAAACTTGCTAAATTTTATTTTAAATATAAAGTCCCTCAACACCCTTCTCCCAAACCAAACCAAACCAAACCAAACCAAACTTCTTAAAGCACACCTGCAAGTCTTAGGTTGGTCCCAGCAGTTGGTTCCACAGGAAGATGTCCTGGAGGGCTGTAGCCTTAGTGAAAGCTGAGTTTCTTCCTGTAAGACAAAAAAAACTGATCCACACCAGCTCATTTGAAACGGTTCCTGCTCCAGTCTCCCCGTGCTGTGGTAATAATTGTGCTACCCTTCTGTGTGCCTTCCTGCTGTCAAATGTAGCTGAAATGTGACACAGAAATAGCAAACTCAGACTTTCCACTCCCCTTGAACACAGGTGTGGAGGGAGAGCCAGCAAGTGCATGTCCCCACAGCAAGGGCAGCTCCCCAGGCTGGCTCTGACCAGCCCCATGGTGGTGAGCAAGGAGCAGGCACAGCCCTCCTACTCCTTGCCACAGCTCCAGCACTTCCTTCCTGCCCTGGCTTTCACAGCAAGCCCAGACACAGTGGCTGCACTGCTGCCAGCCCCACACCTGTAAGCCCTGGGGGGTTTGCCGCCTGTTTTCCAGCTCTGCTTTAAGCATTGACGTACAGCATGTGAAATTACCTGGTTTATGTTTCTCCTTTCGCACCATGTGCCTCTCTGTAGTTGTTGCAAAGCTCTGAAGGAAGAATATTAACTCATGGGAAACCAGAAATGTTCATGCTTGTAGTCTGAGTAAAATTAGGGGAAACTAATCTTTCTCTTTGCATGAAGTGTTGGGCTTGCTGTGAGGATTTTAGAGAAAAAAAACTAAAAGACAGGGAAGTTGAGTCAAAAAGACACAAGTCAAAAAGAGAAGTTATAGGGAAGTCCTGTAATCCCCACAGCACCAGAACCCTTTTTCTGTAGAGTGTCTTGATGCCTCAAAGAGCAGCCAACAGCCCAGCAGTGTACCAAGAGCCAGGACACAGCCCCCAAAGACCCCCAGGCTCGACCCCAAGAAGCTCCTGAACCCCTCCCCAGCACTCACCTTCAGGCTGTGTGGTGGCTCAGGATGCTGGGTCAGGATCCCAGTGCCAGCATTCCCAGTGGGTGGGAAGGCGTCGGGCTGGGGCCTCACGTGGCCTCCCCTGACTCATGGGATGAGCGGTGGCGGCTCCTCTGGCTACGAGGTCACACTCCAGCTCTGTGCTCCCACGTCCCTGAGCCAAGGTGACCAAGGGCTGATCCCGCTGGCACGGAGAGAGGAGCTGTGCAGCTCCCAGCCTGCCTCAGGCACTAATGTTCCTCAGTAGCCCTGAGCAGCCAGGACCCCTCAGTCCTGCCCGTGGCTGCTCCAGCACAGCCCCTGCTCAGCTTGGAGACCCAGGCCCACTTGTTTGGCCTCTCTGGGACATGAGGGGGGCACTGGGGACATGGAACCCACTCTGTGGGGAGAGGCCCTGGGCTCTGGTAAAGCTAAGCAGGGACACTATGACGGGGATTTGGAAGCCCAGGCATGCCACCCTCCTGCTCAGGGCATCCCAGGGAGGCACAGGTGGAACACCTGTGCAGCTGGGCCAGGGACAGCAAAGGGAAATGTGCCCTCCACCCCACTTGTCCCCAGCAGCCACAGAGGGCACTGACAACACTAAGCCTCTGGCTCTGCTCATCATCTGTGTGCTGTAAGGTCATGGGTGCTCCCCTGGAGCCTTTCTCAGCCACCTCTGACACACATCTCTTCAGCACAAGTTACCTGGAGCCACCCCAGGGTTGTTTGCTTTTCAGGGCAGCTGCTCCCTCACTGGCAGGTGATGCTTTCTGAGCCAGCCAGCCTTTACCACAAAGAAACAAGAGAAGGAAAGGATGGGGAAAATTCCTCCAGTGCACCACAGCAGAAGGTGGCAGATGTTTGGTCACCTGAAAATGTCTGTGAAGAGTGACAGCCAGTGTCAAAGGAGGCTCCTTGGGACACTCCAATAGCACAGTGGCTATTGATTACACAACGTGTGGTCATGCTGTCATTTGTCAAATTCACCTAATGGTTTAACCCTGCTGCAATTGGTACCCCAGGAAGGATTCCCTCCTCTGCTCTCTTCACTTCATCTCCCGATGCTTCTTGAGAGACTGGGACACAGGTAAAGTAAGTTATAGTTCCTATAGTAGGTGTGCATTTTTTTTCTTTTCCAGTTTGTTTGGCTGTTTGCTGTGGTTTTTTGGTATTTTTGTTATTCTTTTAGAGGGGGAAAGGATTGGGGTTTGTGTTTGTTTAAGCAAGGTATTCCACTACTTTTCTACAAGTGCCTATTCAAGTGCCTTGTCTCACCTCCCCTGACATTTTTAATTTCATGTAACATTGCACACTTAAAGCAGATAATACCCTGCATCTACTGCTGGGAAGATTAACTAATAAATAGAATATCATGTATTACATGTGTTTACTTGGCCCTTATTTGGGAGCTGTTCTCTGAGAGATTTAGGAAAATGGTGATTTATTCTTTGTATGCTGGGAAAATTGCTTCCAGGAGGGGTTTAGAGAGGTGAGACAGGCAGAGCAGCTCTAATGCTTCACACTAATTGGGTGCAGTGTGTGTATGGATTCGTCACACAAGCAGGTTGCATGAGAAATGTAGAAATACTCCTGAGTGTAGGAGGGGCCCAGTAATGGTACATAAAGTAGTTATTGCTCATTAACTCATCACATTTCTGAGAGACTTAAACAGTCCCATGACTCCTCTTGCCCTACCCTGACTTTCATCCAATGGGTTGGTTAAATTACTCCCTCTTGTGCATTTACTTAGCTGCTACTCATTTTCCTTTAAATAAAGTCTGCTTCAACCATTGTTGTGAGCATGCAGGGGGATTATGCCTCACCGACAGCTGCATTTTGCAAGCTACAGGTAGTTTACAATTACCTTTCTGCTTCTGAATGATGAGACTTTTAAGAGAGAAGAAAAAAGCAACAAGCAGTGAATACAACTCACTTCCTAACCTTCCAGACCATCACTGAACCAGTAAGACCCTGTTATGCTGAAATCACATGAAAGATGTTTGCTTTGGCTGGGACAAAGCCTGAGGTTTAGCCATGAAGGCTTTTGTGGAATCATATTAGAGAAGATCATGTTGTACCTTACTAAGATCTTGTGGAAATTTTTTCTTTCTGTACCCTTTTGTGGAATTACTTGCCATAAATAATTCACTGTATTAGTATTTTTAATTAACACAGTAAAATTTTTGCTAAAGCCCGTTAAATTTAAGAAGTAGGCCTGTTTGAGCAGGCTAAATCAAAGGCCAGGATGTATCACTCACTTCCTGGAGGATTACTGACCTCCTCCTCAGGTGCTGCTATCAACAGCTCATGAGGCAGAAGAGTGAGTGATTCCAGTACGGACAAGCACAAGATCCTCCCCTTAATGGTTACAGGTAATGATGGAAACGTTCCCTCATCATGGGAGCTCCCCTTTATTATGGTCAGCACATTACAGACTCACAAATGGGCTCTGAGGGATGAGAGTGAGAGGGCTGTCTGGGGCTCTGGCTGCTGTTCCTTCCAACCGAGCTACAAGGGCAGATTTCCAGTTACAGTCTGGCTGCGGAAGCCCTGGCCCATCTGTAGGACAGACAGTGCGGCCCCAACACAAAACACAAATCCAAAAAGGGCAGGCTGCTGGCTGACAGAGAAGTAGGGAACAGAGAACTGTGCCCAGCCCCTGGCCTGGCTGAGTCAAGTGCTGCAGCAAGCACAGGGATTACACCTGGAGTCTGAGGATACTCTCCCCACCCACTGCCCTAACTGGAGAACTGCTTCCATGAGCAACCTGCAAAAAAATCTGCTCCCTTATCTGCTCCTCTCCTGTTCCTTGTTGTCCCAGTTCACTGGGCTCCCTTCTATCCCCGGTCTTCTGGTCCAGCAACAGGGCTGGAAGCACCTCATGGAAGCAGAGCCAAAGGCAGGGGAGCACAGATGCTCCATGGGAAGAACCAGGAGCCCAAGGGACAATTCGCAGTTTCAGCTGATCCTCCCTCTTGATAAAGCCCTTTTCCTCAGCACTTTTAAGCACACAGGCAATGCCAAGGATTTCAATATTTAATCCTGATGTTTTGTAGAATGGGTTTGGTCCTGGAATCCATTTTGTAACCCTGTCAGCAAGGCAGGCTGACACCTGTCCCTTACTGCTCTGTCAGCAATGTACCGGCCAGGAGATGGCAAGGCCAGGAAGCAGAACAGCCTACAAAGGCAGGGAGGCATGTGCTGGTTACCTGTTGGCACAGGGGCAACAAAGGGCAAGTCAGAGCTGCGCTGGGGCTGGGCCAGCAGCTCTGTGCAGCACTGACCAAATTGGCTGGGACATCCCCCAGCCAAGGTGAACCTCAGACCTCCCACAGGCCTTACTCTGAAGCAGGCCTCAGAGTTTGATCTATCCACTATTTCCCCAGAATATTATTCTCAAACTTTTGCTTCAGGACATACCCAACAATAATCCTCTCCTCCTCCAAAAAGGGTTCTGTCAACTACTAGCTTCACACTTGTGATAAAAAATGAAAACAGATAAACTGTGTCAGACTGCACAGGGAAAGAGTGATGGGGAAGGTGAGTGGAAAGGTGAGCTCATGGTACAGCCACCCTAAAGCTTTTATGTACTCCAAGGCCAAGTTCCCAGGTCCTAGGACCCACAGAGCTCAGAGCAGTACTGCTGGCAGATTTTGGAAATTGGACACAGTCTCAGTGAATCTGGAGACCTCCCAGACTCCTGTGACCTTCCCTGTCTCACTGATCTGGGGAGCAGCAGCAATCATAGGCTGGCAGGGCCAATCTTCTCTTTGTGAGACAACTACTCCAGTGACATCCACTGTCGTCAGTACCTTGGCACCAGGATGCAAGCAGACACCATCTTCTGGGATCTTTAAAATTCAGCCTTGCAAAGATGCAAGGATGCAGCCCTCCCTCAATAACTCAGCTGTGTCCTAAAACATTGTTCTCTTGAGATCACCTCAGCTCACTGAATTATCAGGTTCAATCACCTGCAACATAGAGGGGATAAAAGTACATTTTACTCAGTAAAACTGTTTCCTAAAATCAAGGGTGTGCTCGCAGTAGGCACTGAGAGAGCCCAAAGGGTATTTACTAAAAGTTAGAACTATTTGAGAAGTCTGGTCCAATCTATTCAGCTTAAAAGATGTGCTCTGGATCAGAGACTATAACTTTTTTGGGCTACACAAAGCTTGAATCAAGCTCTGGATCCCTCTTCTGCTGACACCACACAACAGGTGATGCCAATACACCTTGTCTTCCACCCAGATCAAAACACTACAGTTCATTCCCAAACCTTGGAGCCTCTAATGAGGACTGCTGGACTGCTCCAATCACTCCATGAGGCCTGGCTGCCTGTCCAGCAGGCAGTGAGCATTACAAGCCCACTGTCTGTCATCTCAGAGTGCAAACATTTCTCAAGCTACAGATTGGTTCAGGCTCTCTCGGTCAATTCTGGCACCTTCATAAGGGGCTTCAAACCAACTTCTCTGCAGTTCAGGCTCTGGGAAAAGGTCTCAGATCACCACCAACAGATCTCTGCTGACCCTAAGTAGAGCACCCAGCCTGCTCAGGAGATGAGGACAGCATGGTGTGAGGAGGACACAGAGGACACTGCCATCTCCTGCTACATTAAATTTGTGGTGGGAAGAAACGCACCACTAACACGCCACATAAATCAGTCATCTAAATTAGAATACACAAATCCACTCCAGAAAAGTTTAATATAGGTTCCTGGGGCATCATATTCTGAAAAAAACAAAAACAAAAACCCAAAATACAGTACAAAGAAAAAAGGCAAACAGAATTCCCCAGTATTTAAAATAATGAAATGTATCAAAGCTCCATCTATTATAAGGCTGCACCCCACAGCAGCTGCTGGAGGAAGCAGTATCAGCCTGAGAACGAGGAGGCTTCACCTCCCAGAGATAGCCTGGAATAGCAGCACCCAACCAGAAAACCTGCCTCCTCTTAGGGAACTAGTAAGACTCCTTGAAAGGAAAAGGACAGAACTCTACTGCAGTGAGCTGCCCAGCATCCCTGCTGGGAGATGAACCAGACAGGCTGATTCAACAGTGCTGATGCTCTGTAAGAGCACATATCCTGGGAAGAGTGGGATATTCCAGCAAATCCCTCCAACTGTGTGGCAAAACCTGTTCCTTTGAGAAATCCTGGTATCAGAGGAAAAATAGCTGTTACCACAGCCAGTCATGAGACCAGGAAGGGATCTGAGACACGCCATGCTACTAGCTGGGAACAGAAACAAGCAATGGATCTCAAGTTAAGAGGTTAGCCCAGTACAGACCCAGTCCCAGGGATGCCTATGGTACCCTGTCTCCCATTCAGTCTTTGGATTGAAGAATCTCAGTAATTTAGGCAAGAATATCTGGTGGTCTCTGCCTCAACCCTGTCCCATTCAATGCAGGGCCAACTTCAATATCTAATTAGTTCAGGGCCTTCTCCAGATAAATACTGAGTTATCTCCAGCCATGGAGATCTCAGGACTTCAGCACATCCACAGTAAGCAATGCATGGGCCATGGCAGCACCTCTGATATACTGGGGCCTCAGAGCAGCCACCTTGGAGCCAAGAGAGAGCTGCTTTCCTTCCATCTATCAATCTTCATATGACAACAATCTAATTTGCTATGGCCCCTACACCTAAGGGCAGTGACTCATGGCTGTTCCACTCCACTGCAGGGCTGCTACAAAGCACTCATTTCCACAGATACTATGTTCCAAAAGCAGCCAAGCGTTCCTGATGTGCAGCCCAACCTGACAGTAACCATGAGAGCTGAGGGAAAAGCTGGAGGAGCACTTATTCAAACAGTAGAAAACAGATTCCTATGGAGAGCAAAACTGTGAGCTTGAAAGAGGACCTATGTCAACAAGGAACCAGCTGATGTCAGACAGCCTCATAAATTTAACAAACACTAAGTAACTCAGGTGCTTCGTACACTTCAGGCATGACAGTGCCATTATGAAAAAGCTAAGATTACAGTTGGAGAATATACCAAGACATTTAAAGCCTGCTGGGAAGCAATAAAACTGTTGCTGACACCAATTCCATGGACTCCCCAACAAACCCTAAATATGAGCAGTGAATCTGCAGATCTAGATGCCCACTGAAAAACAGAGATAGATAAATAAAGGAGTGGCGGGAAGGGCTGAGAGACTTCCTTCTCCTTGCCACTTGCCTCACAGAGAGGAGAAACATCTCTTCCCGGGTGCTGGCAAAGGGCCCTCTCCTGCGGCATGTGCACCACACCAGGTGAGACTGCTGTCCCCACACTGCCCTTACACGTGGGCATGTGAAGGCTGAGACGCCCTCCAGACCATAGGGATCACCAGATTTTCTGCTGTGATCCCAGTAGGAGCACAATGCACCCCAAAGGCTTGTCAGGTGCCTCCAGGAGCTGACAACAGCCTGGCCCGCGGTCCCTGTGGCACAGCCCCCACGCGTGGGGAGGAATGTGTGCCCAAACCCCGCGGGTCAGGCAGATGGAAGGGCAGGCTCTGGACATCCAGGATGGTGGCAGGGAGCCGGGCATCCCGCGGCCCGGCCCCAGGCAGGCACGCAGAGAGCAGGCAGGGCAGGAGCACAGCGGTTTATTGGCAACACGAGCAGAGGCGGCGGCGGTGGCGGCGGGCCCCGAGCGGGGTGCGGGGCGGCGGTGCTCCGGCGGCGGAGGCCGGGGCCGCCCCGGGCCTATGTCAGCGTCTCCCCCTTGGTGACCTACGGGAAAAGGAAAAGCCTCAACCAGGGCCGGCCCCGGGTCCGGCCCGCACCCGGCTCACCGCCCCGCTGCTCACCCGGGCCTCGATGTACTCGATCCTCCGCTCCAGCGCCGTCAGCTTCTCGTTCAGAGTGGCCAGTCGGGACCGGCAAGACATGTCTGCGGGAAGGCGGCAGTGAGACACCGCGGGCCGCCGCACCGCCCCGGCCCGGCCCGCCCGCAGCCCCCGCCCCGCGCTCTCACCGAAGGAGTTGAGAAAGTCCGCGATCTTCTTGATGGAGCTGGTGATCACCTCGATGTACTCGCGGTTGGCCCAGTCCTGGTGGATCTCCCGCTGCACCGGGTCCTCCTGCACCGACATGGCCGCCGCCGCCGCCGCCGCGCCTGCGCGGGAGCCGCGCCCCGCCTGCCCGCCCGCCGCCTCAGGGCCGCGCTGCCGAGGGCCCGGCCCCGCCGCGCTCCTCGCCGCCCTCCGCGTCGCTGCCGTCCGTGTCGCTGCCGCTCGGCCCCTGCGGGACGGGCCGCTGTCAGCGCCGGGGCTGCACCCCCCCCCTCCCCCAACTTGGAGAGGCGCAGCCCGGCGGCCCCTGAAGTACCTCCTCAGCCGGGCCTTCCGCCGAGTCCTCCGAGTCCTCATCCGAGCCCCTCTCCTCAGAGGCCTGAGTCAAAATTTCTTCTCCCTAAATTGAACACAAGATCTCTACTGAGTGCACGCGAAGCGGCTAAAGCGTGCCAGGGTGGGATGGAAGAGAGGGACATTTTGTTGCCTTCTTAAATAAAAAGCTTTACAGTTAAAAAAAAACAGGTTTGTTTAACTGTCCTGCTTCTACAGTGAAAGACGAAGAGCCAAGACTTCTTTTAAAGCCACACATGAAAGTGTGTGAAGATGTTCGAGTGGCCTTTACATCTTCCCTCTTGCACATGTAGTTCTTGCCACAGAACAGCCAAAAATTCCCCATACTTATTCATTATTATCAAATCTGACCCCTCAGTGCAAGAGCCTAGAGATGCAGACTCTTAATATTGAAATAAAATGCTTCCTTCTCTTAAATTAGACATTACTGTACTACAGTCACACTGAATTTGGCTTTTTAGCTATACCTAAGGAGAGAGTTAGACTTGTCTGGACAAGATGAGCAGTCCTCTCCCAGATTTTAATTGCCCCAGGCAGGGCAGCAGTTCTCACCTGAAGATCTCGATTTTTGAGGATGCCAACCCAGAAGGCCTCCTGGCAATGGTTGAATGCCAGCATTGCCTTCACTCTGTACACAAATTGTTCCAGGGACTTCTTCAGCAAAGGCACATGGTTGGTCAGTCCAATGTCTTGGTGAATCTGTGCAACAGTAAATTGTGATGAGGACTGATTCTTGCCTAAGTGTTCTGGCTGTTAAAAAGCCATTGGTTATCAGGTGGGATGGACATGACCCCACAAAGCTTGCCCAGATGACATCACTTCTTTGCCAAATTATAGCTATTGTTAAAAAAATGAAGCTCAGATCAGTATTTTGTCTAAACTGATCTCTTACAACAATCCAAATATCCACATTCACCTGGATTAGAATAAAAGAAGCCTGTTTTTGTCATGAAGTCTAGAGAGAAGCTAGTAATTCCTCTGCTGAATTCCCAAGCTTAGAAAAGAAAAAACGAAAAAGGTGTCAAATACACCACTTCCATCAACCCCTTTTCTTGCTCGGTGCCTCATGCAATTCCTTTTTACATGGAATGTGTGTGTGCTATAATCTCCAAAGCCAGTTCCTCTGGAGCAAAGAAGCACTGGCTTTTGGCGAACTAGGACAGGAGGAACAGATGGAGTTGCTATAAGCAAAAACCACCAGAGGAAGGGCAACTATGCCAGGTATCCTAAGAGATTTAGCTCTGGGTGAGCATCTCCTGCTAGGCTTTAATCTGTAGTACAGATCAGTCATTGCTAAACCAGAAAGCCTGTCAACCTGCCAAAACCTGCACGATTATTTTGTACCTAAGTATTTTCCTCTTTCATGAGAATACTTCGTAATCTTCTGGGATTAAGATGCTCTCATTAGCTGTACTCTGAATTCATGTCACCTGCATTTTTTGGAAGAGTTCCAACATATCTGGGCAGAGGGACACTGCTTTGCTTTAAGTTCTGCCAACAGGGAATAGGTAACTGATTACTAACAGCAAGCTGTTCTCTAGCCTGTGTAACAGGCAGGAGCTAGCGATCATCAGCACTAATCAGAACCAAATGAGCAGAACCCTTGCTAATGACACAATCAAAACTCACAGTGCTCCCTGGGCCCTGGAACCTGTCCCAGCTGTGTGCAGGCAGTTTGGAGACTCAACAAAGTACAGCACTGGCAAAAACCTGTCTCCAGAAACTGTCCACGTGCCCAGGGTTAGACATGTAAACAGAAAAGAGGCTTGGTGTGAAAGGGGAAATGACAGGTGAAGCTGATTGCTACTGCCTGCTGTTTAATGCTCTTTAAAGACATGTATTGAGGGAGAATGACAAATCTTAGGTCTCTCTGCACTATGGGTTAGCGAGCATCCCTGAGGTTTTAAGAAAGTGAAATCAAGGTTGGTTTAACAAACGTTGGTGTCAACTCCTCTTCAAACAAATATGAAGCATCCACTGCATACATTTCTTTGCCCCAGATTCAGTTTCTGCCCTCTCATTCTTGCAAAATTATTTGGCACAGAGACCTGTACCAGAGAAGTGGTAGAACACAGGTGTTCATTAATTGCCACTCTGTGCTATCAGGGACCATGGGACACAGCACTTGAAAATGCTGCTCAAGTACAAAGGCAAACATAACAGGGAAAGCTGCAATGCTGTTATCCTGCTTACAAGGTGAATCGTGACTTTAAAGCAGGCATGAGGATTTCACT